TAGCAAAACATGATTATTACAACTTTAATTTAAATATATAAAAATTATAGCGAGACATGAATTTTAATTCAAATATAAAAAATCATAGCAAGATACTAAAATTATGTAATTATTATGCTGTTGTAGATACTATGATTTGATCATTTACTTTAATAATTATGATGTTCTAACTACACATTTTAAATAACTAATGAGTTCGAAATATTGCTGCAATTAAATAAACTGATAAAAACTATTAAATGATATATATGATTAGTTTGATTTATAAAATTTTATTGCTATTACATTGTTAGTGTGCAATAGAAAATATTTATTAGCAATAAAATTTTATAGTTATACTCAAAAATTACAAAATGGCTCTTTAAAGTATAGAATTTTACTAATTTTAGTTAATTGTAGATCACAGCACTTAATTGTTATGATCGATAGATTGTTTTATCAAACCATATTAATGTACTAAAATATGCAATATTCTAATTTTAATACAAATACCAAATTTGTATCAAAATGATTAATCGTTGATATTTACTAATAAAAAATTCATCTCAAAGCATGGTTTTGCTATGTACCAACCCAAATACTTATCAGATAAATTAAAATTACAAATATTAATGACGTAACTTAATCAATATAAGAAAATATTAATCACAAATCTAACTCTTTTTATCTAACAATCTCTAAAAAAAATAATGGATTCAAAATTAAATTTTTAAGAAATATCGATTTTTCAAATCAACTTAACCCAATTGTGCTATCTGATTTAGATAAAAAGCCAATATTAGTAATTTGTTATTTCAAATTAAGAATACATAATAATAATTTAATAATAATAATTCTATATTTTATTAAAGAAATCAATATCGAATTTATTTATTTCAAACTATAAGGTATTATTTGTACTGTTGTAGTTTGGTATTCGATTTTAGTTATCCAAAAAAATCAACTAATTTATTTATAAATAGGATTTACAAATTTCTAGCACCCCAGAAAGTGAATATAATAGTGATAATAGTTTAAAAAGTTTAGAAGATAATAGTATACTTATAGATGATTTAGAGAATAACAATAATGATATGTCCGTAAATAGCTTAGAAAATAAGAATGAGGTATGTATATTAATTGTTTTATATATTTAATATTAATTTATCATTATAGTAACAAATTTTTTTTTTACTATAATTATGTAGCATCAACCAGTATTTGCCAAATTTGGTCAAAAATTAATCATTGATCAAGTTGAATACTATCTTAAGTTTCAAGAATATCCAAAGACATCTTAAACTGGTATCGCTAATATTTATAATATTTCTAGTTAGAAACCAGATGATGCCAAAAAAGCATTCAGAATTTCTAATATTTAATATGCTTATAGAGATCCTGGAACTGTTCGATTAATTAATGAATATCTATTTTTCGGTATATCTGTTCAAAAAACTTATCAATCATGTCTTAGTATAAATGTATGCAAATTTAGTTCAGCAACTCTTTATATTAAACATGCATTAGTTAATTTTGAAGATTAACTTTATAAGAAAATCTTTGATATGAATGAATTTTAATTGATATGTTCACTCTTAAGTAAGCATATAATGATATTTAATAAATAAATAATATTTAAATTTGCTTACTCTTTAATTAAAATTGTATTATAATTTTAGTATATATAGTCAAACTTATAATATACCATACTCTTATATTGATTCAATTACTAATATTCGCTACAAGAGGAATCCTATACTTCGAGAGTATAAACAAGTATGTATATATTTAAATTATTAAATATATAAAGTAGAGAGAGGTAATTTGGAAATATTAAATTTTATCAAAACTTATTAATAGTAAAACTTCATTAAAATCTTATGATTACAGATTTTTTTCAATTTATTTAAATTTTAAAATTAATAAAAAAGCAAGTTAACCATGTTTGCACAACTTTTATTAGTGCTAAGTAACTTCAAGGTTGAGAGATAAAATAGCGAATCAACTAATTACCTATAAATAAAAATTATTAATATATTGTGACAATTATTTGCTAAATTGTTGGTTCTAAATTAAATAGTTTCTTATAATTTTACAATTGGTTGTTAGAATTAAATATTTTTTTATATTATTCAATTTGTCTTGATAAGACAAATCGAATAGTATAAGGATTATTAGATTTTAATCGATAGACAAAGTGTATTTTCAACATGATTTAATTTGTTATTCTATTATTTCACCTACCTCTACTATTATACTTCTCTTTAATTTTTATTTTTTCAATTTAATAATTTATTTTATTCTAATTACAAACCTAAATTGATAATACATTGACAATTTGAAAGTTTATTGGATGTCAAAAATATCAATTTGCCAAAAAAAATATCATTATACTGCAATTAGTTCATATGTAAATATAGAATATCTTGAACAATTGTTTCAAAATTATACATATTGTTCAAATGAAATTGGTAAAAAGGTATATATATACTATTAAATACAAATATTTATTTATTATAAATATTTAATATATATTAATTTAATTATAGGATTATAAAACTAAACCTGTCAATAAATATTTTACGGTTTTTCTAAATTCTTCTATAGCAAATCATTGTCATAAGTATAATTTTTTTTAACATGAATTGGTGTGATATAATTAATTTAAATTTAAATTATATATATTAATTTATATTTTATTATATAATAGCATATCTTCATAAAATAGATAATCAAGTTATAAGGGGAAAATTGGTTAATAAAGGACTATGTCCTATGAAATTTTATTATATCTTGCCTAAAGATTTAACTCAATATCTATTTATTGCAATAATTTTTATTGGTATCCATAATTATCTACCTTCACTACCAACTAAAACCCCATATAATATAATTGAAAATTTAAAAAAAATTATTGAAATGAAATTGATTTGAGTTTTACTACATGAAAACTGCTTACAAATAAGTTTTTATTTTATAGTATATTATTTATAATATTATTTAACATAATATACTAATATAATTTTTTTAATATTTAATTAGAACCAATGTTAAAAATATATCTTAAAACAAAAACAATTAACAGATCTATATATTTGTTCAGTTAGTACGTAATTGAATGAGATAGTAATAGTACCAAAATTTGGTAATACCATGATTTCTGAGTTAAGTTAAAACTACAAACACCTAAGAAGTTATCTTAAATTATTGAGATCACAAAAATTTAACATTATCGAAATTGAACAAATTTGTCATACAATCAAAATTTGATATATCAATCAAACCTGGGGTTGAAATAGGCCAAAATTGACAAATTTCTTTAAAATTTTCCAAAATTTTATTTAAATAAAGCTGTCCATATCAGCAAAATTTAAAAGGTGCTATATATCGATAGTAATCCTCTAGATTACAATCAATATACAACCACCTACCGATTATTTTTTTTATTTTTTTTTTTGGTATTAAGG